TTCTGCACGTCCTGCTCTGAGAGTTTCAGAACAAACTCGCCCTGCACGCTTGGGGTCTTCTCGGCAGTGCCCGTGTTCAGAGCATCAAAGCGGGCATAGAAGTGGTTCAGCTCGTCAGGCAGGGATGTGTTGTTCGTGTCAATCTCCTGGCTGCAGCCCTTGTAGCCTGTGATTGACTGTAATCCCTGCCACAACCTCCGGGTGTCAGCGCACTGCATTTCAAGCCGCACTCTGTAGCTCCGTTTGGCGCGTTTTATGGCTTCTTAAGGGAGTATTGTAACAGTCCTGGATTGTCCTGGAAAAGATCCTCATAAAAAGAAAACCTCCTTGCCTCTACTTGCTCACTTGCAAAGACCACTAGGTCATTCTGTGGCTGACCACAGAAAAGGGCCTCTTTCGCTACATGTAGTACCTGTGACGGCAACAGGCTGTTTGTTTCACATACACATATTTTAGAAATACTTAATTCACTTATTTCACTTAAAAGTGAAATATGGAGCCTTGTCCTTATAAACTGCATTACCTAATGATGGACAAACAGAAACTAATCACATTGTCAAAATCAACTGATTTTCTAGTCAGTCAGGACAGATAGAATAATGCACATACAACATAATGCAAAAATTCAAAGCAAAATCAAGTCAAAATCTAAATGCAGTTGAAAACCACCATCTGTGCATGTCGTAAAAGTTCTAACAATATTCACCTGCATACTGTTATAGTTATAGTTTGGACTTGGTGTTGTATTATGCAGACTGAGGTCATATTTAAACCTGGTTCCTATATGATGTTGCCATTGCTTTGTTTTTCGTATGATTTTTTATCTATCTCCTCTCAATTTATTTCCTCAAAATGAATGTGTTTTCCTATATTAATTGGAGTGTTTGTTATTTTAAATGCTGAAAATTGGAAAAAGTTTCAAAAGAAATCACAATCACACACAGTCATGTAGTTCATGTCCCACAGAGCCTCTTGCTTTAAACTGCAGCCCTTAGTATTATCTGTCAAACCACAATGTCCTGAGCCCTGCCTTGGGAGGTTGGCTGTAGCTAACTTTCTGGAAAACACAGATAAAAAGCTGTCTCTGAAGTAACAGTGTAATAAAAATTATTTTAAATATGTTAACATGGGGCAGCCAGTAGAGACAAATTCACTAGCTTAGACAATAAGATGTTTAAATCAGTATCTATACAATTTACTGGGTATTTCTATATTCTTATTGTTCCTTATATGATTGGGCACCTTTCATCTGTAAACATTTGAAAGATTCAAAATCCTTCTAAACCTAATTCTATGTACAGTACATAAACACTGGATGACTAAGGCAAAAAAGCTGCAGTACTAAGGTTATTAAAATGCAAAAAAACATATTGCAGTTAGGCACATAAGAAATCTGCATTTTATTATTTGCACAGTGGTTGGTCAAAAAAGATATTTGGATTGTGTTACAGTATGCAGTATACACAGCGATTAGACAAATAGCCGTTGCATGCAACAGCGACTGGATCCTATACAGTGCAGATTAAGAAAACTGACCTATATAGTGTTTATTTTAAAAAAGAACTGTGATACTTAGGCAAATAAATTACTAAGAAAATTGATATATGGATTTTTATTTCTAGCATAGAAAACAGAACTGTAGTATTATTTAATGTAGTGATAGCTGCTGCAATATTAGTTACATATTTATAATACTTTTGAATTTTTTGAGTGGCATTCATTAATTTTACATTTCTAAAATAATTATATTTTCCTTTTTTAAAGGGTCTATTTATTTATCAATATCAAGCACAAGATGTAGTCCAGTTTTTACTTCAGTGCATGTGCCGAATACATGGACAGAAAAAACATTTCCCGACATCCCACACTGTGAATATCCACAATATTTGTACTGTACATCACCTGAAGTATTACTGCCTGATGTGATGTAAATTGGAGGTTACAGTGTACATTTGGCTTTTATTTTGAGTTGAAATGCACTCATCAATGCTGATTCTTTCTAATCACGAATTCTGATTTGTGAATAGCATTGCTATTGTGTAGCATTGCAGTTCCCCTTTAATGCTTAAAA